TGACAGTTGCAGTTTATTCCTTTCTGAGTTTCTTCAAGAGAAATGTATGTAGGCATTTGGCTAAGGAAAGACAGACCGGAAATGGGACCGGAAATCGGAAAATGAAATCCTAAGGGTTTTCAGAGGTGATGTGTCCCTGTGCTTTTGTCTTGAATTTTGAACGGAAATTCTATTACTCCTGGCTCAAAGAGTGCGTTCTAAAAAATGAAAGTTTTTCTCTGCAACTATTCATCTCTAAATTTACCCCCCCCCCCCCAACTTGGAGATGCACTATTTTTGATGTTCTCAAGTCTGGTAACGACACCACGTGTGTGAGCCGGTGTGTGCCAAGTCCGCCACAGCACCGGAACGCTCAGTCTAGACGCTCTGTGTGCTCTCCCCACTCTGGTTCCAGGCAGAACCTTCTCTTGTTTTCCAAAAAAGTTCTGAAATCACGGCGACACAGAGGTGTAAACTCCCATTCATCACAGGGAGGTCTTAACTGGGAAGCGTAGTTATCTTTCCACTTAAATGGCAGCAGTGTTAACCTTTTTGTTGAGTCAGAAAAATCTCACTTTTCTGGGGTATAGGCCGGTGGAGCTGATTTTAGAATGTTCCACCTTTTCTAAGGGAGACTCTCGAGGAGAAAACATGCTGATCTTGCTTGAAGATGTACATGACACCAAAGCTTTGGCCCAAAGGAAGAAGTGAATTCTTTGAAAGAGAACCAAAGATTGCCGTATGTAAGAATCAAAATAAAAAAGGGAAAGGGAGAGAGAGGTGAATATGAATTTGTTTAAGCCGGAGATTTTTGAGGTAGAGAGGCAATGGGTCTAAGTGTCGCACATAATCTAATATTTATTCAAATGGTAGGCACAACATGACTGTCAGCAAGATGGGGAAATCCCCTTGCAGTTTAAATGAAGGATATTTACTTTCTGCAGTTTAACTGAAGGATTTCTACTTCTATTTTATAGCAAGAGGTGGAGTCTTCTTAGAATAGTAGGTAAGAAATGTACCTTTGGTTTGACGATCGCATTTGTAGTAAAATGTAAAAAAAAAAAAAAAAAAAAAAAAAAAAAAAGCTTCCCGTTTGCTTTTCCCCATAGTTGGCATAAATATCCAGCGTATTAGTCAGAATAAAGCTGCTGAGAATAAGACACATGGAGAGAATTAGTTCATCATGTATCTTGGCATTCCTTCTGTCAGAACTGGTCACTCCAGAACAAAGTCAGACATCAACACAGGTCTCCGGGCCCCAGGAGATGCCACGAGCTGGCAGTGGGGTGGTCTGCCCCAAGAAAGGCAGTGAGAGAGCTCATGGTCTGTGAAGAATTTAAGAACAATAAAAGAAAACAACTAAAAGTCATTCTGCTTCATGTTTTTACCATGACCAGAGATGCTGAATGTCTGCAGGGCTTACGCAGCCCTGCCTCGATATGCCATTGTCTGCCAGCCCAGATGGGGCAGAGGCAGAAAGCACTGACTTCAATATATAACAGGTTATAAAATGACTCTACTAGGATTTTTGTCTAACATCGCCATCGAGTTGCAGGAGTGAAAACAGAACTCATTCCCACAGAGCACTTACCGTGTACCATGCAGTGGCTGGGGCTGAAGGTCCAGAGGTGAGGAACCAGGCACTATCTCTGCCCTTAGGAAGCGTGCTACTTTGCAGAGAAGACAAAAAAATCACACCAACCGGTGTAAAGTTGTACCTGTGTCAAGTCAAAGCGAGGGCACATGGGGATTTTTGACTTGGTTATAGAGGTTCAGAAAGGCCTTTTGAGGAGCTGGTCTAGTAGTTCTTCCAATATTATTTGTCATGCCAAGAACTAAAATAAGGGATGTTTTTGCCTGCGATCAGCTAGCCGTGTCATCTCTGGAGTCTTTACAATAAGACCCATCCCAGGGGCCATATCCTACATCCTCTTAGTGTTGCATAGCAGTTCACTCTAGTGGGGTCGGGATGTGGTTAGAGAACATTCTGCCGACACTGTGCCAAGGGCCTCCTCTTGATACCCCTCCTCTGGGCACACTCCTTAGATCAATGGTTCTCAGCCCTGCTTGTACATTACAATCACCCCAGAGCTTTTTAAAAAACACCCATGTCCGGGCCCCACGCTGGACCAATTAAATCAGAGTCTTGGAAAAAAGTGGGACAGGAGGGGGCAGGATAGGCTCCAATGTTAAAAAGCCACCCCAGATGATTCTAGTATGCAGTCAAGAGTGGAGAATTATTGCCCTCGCTGAATGCACTTAATTTCACTTAGTCTAGGAATAGTAGTTTTAAATTTTACACTAAAAAACACTTCAGAATGCAAAAGGAATTACTCTGGCGAGAGGCGGGTGAGTGCTCAATGTGTGCACACACACGTGAGGGAGACGGTGCTGGGGGTTCTAGCATGTTGTATGCTTCCCAGCTCTGGGGCACATGGTGGCAATGCGGCAAATGGCTGCAGGGTGGAACGTCTTGCACTCTGGCATCAGATGGCTTGTGAGAGGCAGACCATTCCAAGGGCCATGGGGCTTGATGGAGAGGCAAATAGACAGCTCCATAAAGAAGCAAATCTCTGGCTTTCTCTCTTCACTTCCAACCCTCTCAATCTCCCTCTCCTTTCTCTCCCATGGCTGTTTTATTCCACCTCATAAATTATGAGTCTTTATATGAAATCTTTAGCTCCTTTGAGGAAGCACCTTCAAATATTAGACAATGGGATTATTTCCTGTCCTTTAAAAACATAAAAAGCATTGTGATCACCTTACGTGTAAGTGGAATGGATGTATTTTTGCCACTAATGTTGAAAATATCCCCAGGCATCTGGTGTGTATGAATGTGTACACATAGTACATGCATAATAAACATATTCCACCTTATGAATATTTATACACAAGATACATGTATATTGAATATAGACATATATATGTAAATAGTAGCCCTCGTAAACTATATGCTAAGTGTGTTTCCAAGCATATGTATCATAGTGCATCAGGAATATAATAAACCTAACCACCAACTTTAGCATATTTCGAGGTGGCATTTTCTATAGAGTTGTTTATAGTAAGGTCTAGTTACTATCCATGTATGGGGCTTTTTTTTTTCTTCATCACTTAAACGTTTGTTAAGTACCAGCTAAAAGTAAGGCACTGGAAATGGCAGAATAGGAAAGACGAAGTAGATGTAGCATCAGCCGTCAAGAGACCTCACAGAGTGGCTTAAAACACACTTACAGAGAATAGAAGAATCTAACATCGTTGGTACCCATTGGCATCTTATTGTTTTTCCTCCAGCTGCCTTTTATTTATACACTCCACTTTAAAGTGGGCCCCATTTAAGACTATATTAACTTAAGCCCAGATGTAGCTGCAGAGGAGAGCTGACGCTGTGAGACGCTGTGAGAAGGAGCATCATTGCTTTCAGTGCCTTGATAACCACTGAACGTGAACAAAGCTTACGCTTTCTGTCACATGTAGTCCAGTCCTATAACTGCATTTTTATTTTACTTTGATTTGGTAGGGGGGGGATAAAAGGTATAATAAAAAGGCACTCAATCCCAGAGATGTTCATACATTTCAAAAATGAAACCAAAACAGAGCAATTCTCTTCTCCCACCAACTTCTTGTAACCCAAATATTACTGCCCATGACATTCCATTTCCAAATTCCATCCAGTTCCCTCCCTGTAATAAGTAGCAGAAGGCTTTGTTAAAAAACAAGCTATACATCCTTAAATGTACAAAATACGGCTCCGTTTCTAAAACGACGATCCCTCTTCTAGCCAAGGAGCTCTGAGTGATACTTGTCAGCCGGCAAATTTCACTCCATTAAAGGAGAAACACCACCCAAGTGCTGTCATCGCTGTGCCCCAGACATACGCTCATTGTTTTCTCCTCCTCGATCCATACATCACAACAGGTAGTTCTCAGCTGTTCCCTTGGTGCCAGACATACATTTTATCTAAAGAGACAGCCGACAGAACTACCTGCTGCTTCCTGTGCGGCTCTCCCTGTGTTTCTCTCCTTTTTCCTACTTCACTTGGGCTTTTTAAAATCAGCTGGCAGGGAGCCAGGAGCTCATCATTTTAATGCAGCGCAAAATGGAATATGCATAATTATATGCAAGCCATATGTGAGGGAGACAGCTCAGCTGTGAATTTCAGGAGGCCAGGAAAGGGGGAGCAGTTAGGGCTAAGATGAGATGAGAGCAGAGCGAGGTGCAAGTGTCACCCAAATGAATGGTTTAATGAGTGTGCTGCAGACACGCCTCCTTTCACCTACCTCTCCCCCTCTCCCACTCCAAACCAGAAACGGATGGAGATTAGGAGGACAAGACTGTATGCAAGCGGTATTGCTAATGGGTTCTGTTAATGTCTCCATTTAAACTTCAGCTTTCTTAATTAACAGTGTAGATCAAAATAACTAGTAACTTTTAATGCAGCTTCTTAATTAAATCTATTATTATTATTTTTTTTTTTACTGCATTCGATTGAAGAATCATTGTTCTTACTAGATCATTGCTCCTTTCAGATCTTTATTTAAAAATCAAGGGGAATCAGTTTATCTCTAATAGTATTACAATGCAAAATATAACGATGCGAACTGCTTTTCTTGTGGCCTTGCTATTAGAATTTTCTTAAAGTGCGTTATCTAGAGATTGCTTAAGCATGCCAAAAAGTTTAAACACGTACGTATGTCATATAATCCTCAATGTGCAACGAAAGCCACTGGAAGACCAAAGTGGTGGTTAATTGCCAACGAAACTATTTGATTTTGGTTTGCTTCATATCATTTAAAATATCACACCACAGTGAATTTGCATGTCGAAACCAAACTACGTCAAGAAAAATAAACCCCGAATTTTGACATCTAAAAGGCGTACTGCGTATTTAAACAAACTTCTTAATAATGTTGTTATTTCTGGATTCCCGTTTGTTTAATGGTCTGAGCTGTTATGCTTTTAGCTTTTTTTTTTTCTTCCATTATTTGTTAAGTCCCTAAATAGGCCATTATATTTCCCTTCAGGCTAGAGATGAAGATGGACAAGCTGAAAATTTCCCCCAGCAGCACTATGCTAAGGAAACTCCAAGGCTTGCCTTCAAGAATAACTGCGAACTACTTGTAAGAATAACATACTTACAACAAGTCTAGAATGTTACTTTAGCACAGTGAAAACAGTTTTTGAAAGGGTTTGTTCATTATTACATCATTTATGAAGTATTACAGTTTTTCTGTATAGAGTTCTAAATGCTAATTCTGATATCACTGAATATTAACTATAAGATCTCAGATTGTGTGCAAATCTTTTATATCTGATTATAGAGCGTGGATGGCCCTGTCTTTGTTAGCTTGTTCTGTATAGTAGTTTATAACCAGCCATTTGGAGAATGGCTAGTAAAGTTAAAAATGGAGAGAAAGACAGTCGATATATGTAGCTTGGAAAAAACAAAACAAAACAATCCCACCTCCACTCCTCCTCCTCCTTCCTAATTGTACACTATTTTAGGAGACAGCATGGTAATATTTTGTTCTGCTGGGAAAGATAGCAGAGTTGACACGCAGTACTCCCTTTAGGATTCAAGTGTTCCTACACTCTCTTGCCAAACTCAATCAGGCACTTTTCGTCTTTCCTCTGTAGGAGAAGTCAAAGCAGCGACAGGATGCGGGGATGTTTACAAGTCGCGAGAGAGGGGGTATCAGCTGTGACAGGGACTCTGTTCCAACGCAGGGTTAATTTGCTGTTCATTTTAGCATTTACAGCAAGACAAGATGAAAAGCAAGAAGAAATGCCTATTATATTTCTATTAAATGAATCTGTCGGGACCTAATGTTCTTGATTAGCTTTTGAAAATGAGTACTCCGCGATGCATTTGCTGTTTACCTAAAGTAAACAGAGAATGAATTGTCTTTTATTTAGATATTTAAACACTTGCTTTTGAAAATGAAGCTTTATGAGGGATCTAGCTATGTTGTCCCTAAATGTTCTTTTCTTTTCAATTGCATTAAAGCAAAACATTTGCTCCAACTAAATGAAAACACTGAAAGAGAATGAGGATGCTCCGTTGTTACATTTTGAGGTAGTCTCATTTCTATTTAGTGTTTTGGCTGAACACGGAACAGCTCTGCCAGGTCTCCGCATTAGGAAATCCCACATGTAACAGTCTTTGGACTTAGCTCTGATACCAACTGTTCATTAAAAACAAAGTGTCCAAAGAGCAGGAGAAGAGAGAAAGATACAGTTCTTACCCATCCTAGCCGCAGCAGCTAGATGTTGACAGTGAGAAACTCTTTCCCCCCAGCTCCATAAACTGCATGGTTACAATAGCGCCACTCATGCTGTGTGTCTAGCCCCTTGACCAATCAGTCCGCAGGCAAATTCGCTGCTTATCAATGCAGTTGCTTTTTTTTGTTTGTTTGCTTGTTTGTTTGCTTTGTGATGATTTAACTCACCTTATATTTTACCTGAGGGCTCTTAAGCTTCCAGGCCTCCTAGCATGACCTATTTTGGGGAAATCATTTTCATCCATTTCCCTTTTAATACTTCCCTCTGTAACCATAGTTATCCAGCAGAAGACCGTAGGGGCCATTAATGCTATGTTTGGTATCAAAATGCTTTGGGGAGTATCTTACTTCTTTTTAGAGAAACGGTTAAAATTAATATGCCATAGTTGATTTTTAAAAAATATTTATTGCTAAAACGAACGTGCTGAGTCCTGGTTGTGGTTGGTTCATACAGGAGGAAGTAAAATATATATGTGAACATCTTTTCCAGCTACCTTTAGAGAAAATGTATGTTTAATCATTGCTATGCTTAGACACAGTAGTGTATTAGCAGTAGTTTTGAGAGATGTGTACAATCTTTGTCCTTTTAGTCAAAGAAATGCTTTATTTTCATCAGCATAGTTTTTTTGTGACAAAAGAAAAAGGAGAATAAAGAGAAGAAAACAAGGAAGCTTATTTCTCTAAGGAGAAATTTAATTTTTTCAACTACAAGAAAAGCAGTGGTATTTGGCTGGATATGAGGCTGGGAAAAGGGATGCTTCTATATGAAAAAGCTAGAACATTCTTAAGTGAGAAATAGGCAGTCCTTGGAGTTTTCTTAGTGCAGCTTAGAGCAAATTTTTAAAGACTTCATGAAAAAAGATTGCAAGTCCTGCTCCACAGTACTTTCTTAGCTTCAGAGCCACCTTGCATAGTTCACCGTAGCAAGAGCAGGGGTGGGTTTGGGAAGTGGAGGAACTTTGTCAGGGTTGCCAATGGCCCTTGGAAGAAAACACTAGGGGAATAGGTTACTTCTAGGCTCGCAGATGATCAGGACACATGGCTACATATAGGGACTGACAGAAAGTGCCCCGGCCAGGTGGACTGGACATTGACTCAGACTTGTATTAGTGACTGTTTATTTTCTCTGCCCTCTCTCCCACACCCCCAGCCTCTGCTGCTTGGAAGAGGGTTAAGTAGCCTAAACAGAAATAAAGCAAAATCGATGCCTGGAATGCACAAGTATGTGTAATCAGAAGGCACTGACAAACAAAGCATTGGCAGATAGAAAAATCTGCTGTGCAACTGCAGATTCCTGAAGGGTATTGATTTTTCCATTTAAATCCCAAACTGTGATATGTGCCTTCACACTTAATGTACAACACAGATGACTAGATATTTAGCTTGGTGGCCAAGATTCTCTGGTTGGTGATTGTGCAACAGCTTCCTTATGCTTTTTATTAATTTTGAAAATGCAGTGCTGTCAAGATGAGTGACATTAGATAAAGCATGAGTACTGTTTGATATAACACAATTCAGCATGGCCCCCATCTACCTCTTCACAGATAGGTACCATGTGCATGTGTGTGTGCGCACACACACACACACACACACACACACACACACACACACAGACACACCCCAGGGTATTTTGCTGACGTAGCTAAATTTATGACCAAGGCAAATAACTTTCAATTAAAAAAAAAAAACTGTGGAAATTCACATCACATTAACACTCCAGCAGCATGGCTTAGGGGAGCCCAGAAGAGGGAACATTTAGAGCCAGCCACAGGTGACTGGCCTCTGCCCCAAATTTCACCCCCGTTGCTGGTCCCTTTACCGTTATTGCCTCATTCTTTCGGGACTAGAAGTCCTTCTCGTCTCTTCTTTTCCTCTACTACAATGCTCATATTGATGGTGGGAATTGGATTAAGAGCTATAGTTGAGGACGTTTATCATGTAATGAACTCACACCTACTCATCAGCTAGGACTTTCTCAGTTCTTAAAAGCCAGCTGGGAGTAAGACCTTGCAGAAATACAGCAGAAGCTGGGTCCTTGGAGGGAGAAGACCTGTAGCTAGAAGAAGAGCAATGTTGTGAGAGTTTAGGGGACGGAACTGAAGGCGACCAAGCCTACTCCGCAGGTGTTCTGAGGGCCAGTCCAGAGAACATCACTGCATTCAAGAGGGAGGTCAAAATATAGTCAAAGAACAGCAGCAGCAACGTAGTGTAATTTGGTTGGAAAGAATACAGGTTTAAGCAGTCTGAAAGGAGAAATAAGAGAAAGGAAACTCAAGAGGGAAATCAGCCTGTCTTGCTCAGTTCCAGCTTCCTGAGTCATCACTGAGACACAGTCTGACTCCCTTTGGCCTTTCCTAAGGCTATTAGGGGTGGGAATTTTGCAGAGGGTGGTGGGAGAGGGAGTCCACAACTGGGAGGCTACAAAAAATAGCATCAGGGAAGACTTCTTTCTGGTCATTTGTGATGCCAGTGTAGGGAAAAGATGAAAACCATTTTAGTTTTGTGGCCCGTGGACAGAGGTGGTGGGAGGAGAGACGCGTAGGCAGTTCTTGCATGGGCTATTTGTCCATCTCATTTCCTGGTGAAGGTAGACAAGAGCTGGATTGCAACAGGTGGACATAGTCCTTAGGCAGAACTGTTGTACAGAACTGCTTTGTATCAATACATTGTTCAGTCCGCTAGATGTTATCGAGTATCTTCTATATACATGGCATTGTACTAGACAGTGCTTATGGGGGACACAAAAACAGAAAAAGATATAGTCCTTTCCCTGAAGGAGCTTGCAGTTCAGTAGAAAGAATAGGCATATACACTATTGTAGTCATCAGGAATGTGGGCTCTCAGGTCTTCCTGAAGGTTAGAATTTTGCCCCAGCCAGACTTTAATTTATACTCTATTACTCTGGTGGTATCACTAAGGATCATATGCACAGCGGCGTAAAATTTATGGTGACACATCTGGTGTCACATCACAGTGGATCCTCTTAGACCTCTCTGAACCTCAGATCTTCATCTGTAGGGTGTGATAATACAAGGTAATAACCTCAGAAGATATTGTTTTCAACGTTTTTTTTTGTTTTTTTTTTTTTTTATTTTTGGGACAGAGAGAGACAGAGCATGAATGGGGGAGGGGCAGAGAGAGAGGGAGACACAGAATCGGAAACAGGCTCCAGGCTCTGAGCCATCAGCCCAGAGCCCGACGCGGGGCTCGAACCCACGGACCGCGAGATCGTGACCTGGCTGAAGTCGGACGCTTAACCGACTGCGCCCCCCAGGCACCCCCTTCAGAAGATATTGTAAGGAAAGTGATGACATATTTAAAATGCCTGGTACATAGTAACATTCAGTATAGTATGTACTAGCTGCTATTATTATGATTCTTCTTATTCTCACGAATGTTATCGTTACACAGTTGGCTGTGCCCAAGAGAGCACCAGCAAAGTTCCGGAGTTCAAAGGAAGAGGAGATTCTTTCCATATGTAGTAATTCGAGACTTAACAAAGGAGGAGGATGCCTTCGATCAAGGCCTTCCATAGGTTGGATTTGGATAGCTGGAGCTGAGGTGTTAGGAAAGGGGGCATTCTAAGCAGAGGAAAATAGCATGGCAAAGGCAAGGAGGTGGGAAAGTACAGACCAGGTGACTCACCCACAGGTGGCATCTGAACTGGCAGGAGTGTAGAGAACCTGAAGGATAAGGGGGTGAGCTAACAGGCTGATTCTTTTGCCCAGGTTTCAATAACTTACAGCATCCTATCAAGCCTGGACTTCAGTAGCTGTACTTTATGGAAATTCCTAGTACTTCTATGGATTAAAATAAATTATCATGGAAAATTACTAACA